TTGCATTGTCTCACACATGAGCTTTTGGGGGGCACCTAATATCTAAGCTATAACAGGACCTTTGCACCTCCTGTTTCCTCTCCTGAAATGTTGCTTTCCTGAGATATTCATATGACTAGGTCTCTCATTTCAATCTTTGTGTGTCACCTTCTCTGTGAAGCTTTTGCAAATGACTCAGTTGAATATTATGACTCCCTCCCACAGCAAGGGAATTGCCTGTTCCCTTGCTGTGCTTTGTTTCTCTCTGTACCAGACCACTTACTAATATAATACATATTTACTTATTTTGTTTATTGTCTGGATAATCACACTAGAATGTAAATTCCCTAAGGGCAGGAATTTTTGCCTATTTTGTTCCCTAGACCTAGAATAGTGCCTAGGACATAGTAAGTGCTTAGTAAATACTGATTGAATGAATGAATTATAACTGCTCTTATGATGATGTTCAAATAAGACACAAACATACAGATATTCCTCTTTAATTATATTCATCGTTCAAAAACCAACTTTTTTATTTTTGTTTTTGTGGTGCTAGGGATTAAACACAGGGCCTTGTGCATGTCTCACATGAGACTGGGCTATATCTCCAGCCTCCAAAACCCAACTTTTAATCCTGCTGGATAAGTGTTCCCCTAAGGCTCACATGTTAAAGGCTTGGTCACCATCCTGTGGAGCTACTGGGAGGTGGTGGGACCTTTAGTAAGTGGGGCCTAGTGAGGAAATTAGGTCATGGGTGGTGTGATTTTGAAGGGGATACTGGGACTCCAGCACCTTCCTCCTTCTTTCTTTTACTTCTTGAGGACCATGAGGTGAATGGTTTTCCTCTACCACATCATGCTGACTTGCCACAGGTTCAAAACCACCAACCATAGATTGAAACCTCTGAAACTGTCGTCAGCCAGAATAAACCTCTCTTCCTTACACATTGTTTTTCACTGACATTTTGTTACAATAATGGAAAACCGACTATTATAACCGACTATTATAATTATATATTATAATAATTAGGATATTAAATTATCTTTTTAAAAATATTCCTCTCAGGTTAAAGTTAAATTTTTCTTCCTAACTCTCTTGATACTTTTCTCTACCTCTCTTATGGCTATTTTATCTCACCTTATTTTTTACATGAATACTATATTTGAAAGAATACATGTAAACTATCTGATTAAATAAATGACAATCTAAAAATTTTTTATTTGAGGATAGTGCACATTATTTTCACTTTTTTATTTATCTTTCATTTTTTTTTACTAGACTACTAGTCAAAGCTTTTTTTGCCCTCATTACCCTGTTACAATATTTTTCAAATTGTCAGTTGTGATCTATGAATAAATTATGATATCATTTTAGGAGGTCACAATGATTAATGTTTAATAGTGTAATAAAATAGGTTAGAATAGAAAGCACTATCATTACACTGCATACAAAAAGGATAACTGTTGTCATATAAAAATGTGTATTTATGTGTGTATGAACTGAGTAATCATGTAAACAAAGTCCATAGACTTGATACTGACAGTTTCTCAATAAAATTTAAGAAAGATTTTAGAAGGACAAATGAATCTCTTGAAACAAATCTATAGAGAAAATTGTCTTGGAATTCTTGTGAGAAAACATGGAAAAGGGTCTTACATTTGCCATTTGTAAATTACATGGATAATTTTACACAAGCCACTTGAACCTTTCTGAACGTCAGTATTCACATCTGGAGAGTGGGGTTAATAGCTCAACTTACAGGTGGTTGTGAGAATTAAACAGATATTATGTGTGAAAGTGTTTTGTAAGCTAAATTGCTGTGAAAGTATCATTTTATTGGTGTATGATAATCTAATTTCGGTCCCTTCTACTTTGGGGTATAGAATCCGAGGGAAACGCATGGTAATCATAACTTTGATTTTATGAACTCTGAATCTGAATTATGTCAGATGCTTCAGAAGTAAATATTTGAACTCTAAAAGTGTAAAAAGGTAAAATCGACATGTAGTGTATCGAATTAATCTAGTGTTTGAGGCACATGTTATCTATTGCCTTTCTATGTCAAAATGCAGAGTAATGAGTGCAAATCTTTCAGAATACCATCTAGCAAAAAGTGGATGCTCAAAAAGTAGTAAACTTTATTCCTTCTGTCTCTTTTATTTCTATTCTCAACTGCCAATCTCCCTGAAGCAGACATTGGTGCTTTGAGCCATTATCCCACTTCTATGTGCAAAATACTTTCTGCAGTTTCTCAGTTGTGTTTGAGAGGATGGGCGGGCACCAAGTACAGTCACAATGTTCCCACAAAGCAAGCACAGCTTCTAGTTTATAAATGAAGAAACTGGTTCAGGGGTCAAGTCATTTACATAATACCACAAAGCTACTAACATATACCCAGATCTTTCTGGCTCCTATCTATCTACTTTTTATAATGCCATGTGGTCTTCAGATTCATTCATTGCTTGTTTTTGCATCCATTCATCTGAGACAGTCTACTTCAAGGTCAGTGTGATGCCACAAAAGAAAGATAACTGAAGCCCAGAGTAAAAGAAGACAAGAAAACAATAGTACGTTAACCAAATAAATAATAAAAAAAAATTAACAGTAGCTAAAACATTGACCATCAGATGCTATTCTTAGAAGTTTTACATATATTAATTCGTTTTCTCCTCATTTTATAGGTTGATTTCAAAAATTCTTATTTTACATGTAAAAAACCAGAGGCATAGAGAGACCCAAGCCACTTGCCCATGTTATCATTGCTAGTAACTGGCAACATTTACATGTAAAACTACAAACAATTGGCTATATTTGTTTCAAAACATGTTAAGAATTTTGATTATGTGAACCATTTTAACAAATAAATCCCTCCTTTGTGAATCCAATGATACAGAACAGAGCATGTATTTGTATGTCTACGGATTTTTGGCACAGATTATGTTGCTGAAAGAAGCAGTATTTAAGGGCAAATAACTAATTATCATTCTGTTAGCATATTTTGAGTCTCCCCATAAGCACTAAACCATGTTTCTATGGTAACCAGTATAGGTCCTTTGAAGGGTGATGAAAGAATTACAGGGCAAAGCTGTTAGTTTAGAATGACTAAAACAATTTTCCTTTGGCACATTTGCTCCCTTGAATGTATTATGCCATCTATTTGACCCCATGACTCTGTGAAGACAGCAGATTCCTGGGAACTCTTCGAACTCGAATTACAAGTGCACAAGACCAAGTCTGACATAAATTCAAGGACAGGGAAGCTATGCTCTTTAGCATACTTCTCTCTCCACTGGGAGAGTTACATACAGTATCCTGGCTGGTTAATTTTGAACATCTTCATGCTGGCTTTCAAGTATTATGTCTTTCTAATTAAGGGGGAACAAGAGAGGAAACATAATCCACTGGCTTATTAGGGCTTTGGGGGACATGTTTTAGTCAGCCTTCTATCACTGTGACCAAAATACCTGACAAGAACAACATAGAGAAGGAGAAGCTTATTTTGACTCATGGTTTCAGAGGTTCAGTTCATGGTTGGCTGACTCCATAGCTCTAGGCCCAAGATGCAACAGAACATCATGGTGGAAGGGTGTGGTAGAGGAAAGCAGCTCAGAAAAGTAGCAACAAGGAAGCAGAGAGAGAGAGTTAAACTCCAAATGCGAACTCGCACTGTCTCATCTCCTTCAGCCATGCCCTACAGGTCTATGTTACCACCCAGTTAATCCATATCATTGGATTAATCCACAGATTAGGTTAAGGCTCTCATAACCCAATCATTTCACTTCAACATTCTTACATTGTCTCACATTTGAGCTTCTGGGGGGACACCTCATATCTAAACCAAAACAGAACATACAGTAGTTTATGGATTTTGCTGGTGAAAACAAAACAGAATGACCAAAACATAAACCTGAAAGAATGAGAAACAGCCTCCTGAGAGAATTGTCCTGAGGAGTTAGACTCCAGTGCTTCAGAACAGCATCTGTGAATTCTGGAGGCTGGAGTTAGTGGGAGAAGTGAAGGGGTCAACAGCAGCAATCTAGACCATCAGGTCCAGGTGGAGTCCACTGACTTTACTCTCTCCCAGGGAAGGACCCTCAGATCAGGAAGAAACGTCACCTGTCACCTCCCTCCTGCTGGGTTCATGTATGGATCAATCAATACTGCTCCAGGAAGGTGGGGTAAGTAGAATATTATCAAATAACAGAAATGACTTAAGGACCGTTTCAGATGGTCCTGAGATGACTGGTTGAGAAAAAACGCAGCAGGGACAATTGAAAATCTTTCTTTTTCTTTTTTTTTTTGATCCATAGAGATAAGTGGATATTATTGTGATTAATTAAAAACTATACAGTCTTTTTGTCCCCAAGTAAAGTGATTATGCTAAAAACCAGCCAATGGCAAAGGAGGCTTGGGTAGGTAAGATGGCAAAAGTGATGGGCAAAGATTTTTCTACAACCTTCTGTCTAAGTCAAGGTTCAAAGCAGTCAATTCCTCACTGTCATGGGGGCTTTTTCCTCTCCCTCTTTCTTTCTATCCTAGAGTGATACAGCTGTGGTGGCTGGGAAGACACGGCAGTCTCAGCTCTTGACTGATTATGCGATGCCTCTGTTCTGTCTCTTCCCTACTCAGTTTATATGCTTGTAGTAAATTTTTTCTTTTTCTTTTTCTTGGTACAGGGATTGAAGCCAGAGCCATTCTACCACTGAGCTACACCCCAAGCCCTTTCTTTTCTTTCTTTCTTTCTTTCTTTCTTTCTTTCTT